CGAAAACTAATGTTTTAATCGACCTTAATACACTAATTAAAAATGTCGGGAATAAAATTTTACATATAATACGCAATTTTCTATTACTATAGCCCTGAACTCTAACACCCTAACCCTAAATTTCAATTGACACTTAGTTTATTTTTGTATCGAATTTCCTTTTTTGGGTTTGTATCACTCGCAAAAATAAGTAATCCCTAACAGTATATATGTTGTACGTTGGAATGGAATTATTGTGGATTTAGAATCCACCTAGGTTGATTCCAAATAAACATAGGTTGTAACAGAATTCTAAAATGCGCCTGAGTTGCTAAAGAATTTGAATTTAACTTATAATTAAGTGGATTCTAAATTATTTAATCGTATATGTTGTTTTAGAATATAAGATAATGTTTATTCATACCGATAGTGCATCAGCAAATTAGTTCAATTTATTTAATAGCATTACATATTAGTATTGTTTTTACATTTATAATTACCTGGATGACAACTACTACCACATGGCAAATTATTTCTTTTACATTTACAATAATTTTTTTCACATGAATTTTTGCAATTGCATTTAATATTGCCTGTTTGTGAAGAAGATTGCATAATCGATGCCTCTCGAACGCTTATAGATGTTGAAGGGATATTATTCAATTCAGGAAACTTGCCAGGACCCAAAGGAAGAAGTTCATTAGCATTATATGTAACTTTAATAATTCCCGATTTACATCCAAGTTTATATGTGTCATTTTTTGATACTTCGAGAATTTTGCATAGGAGTGTTTTTCGATCAGTGTGTGTCCTATCAATGTCAGGAATCTTGATATGCACTAAATCTTCAACATTGTATTTGTTATTAAATTTTTTATTACACTTGTTAAGTTGTGACTTCATGTTATTGCGATATCATTTAAGAGACTTTGTAGCGACACTTCGATAAATTTCATGAGCCGATGTTTTTTGAATGTTGTTCCTATTCCAGAGTGCATATTTGGGTTTAGGGTCATGTTCATCTAAAAAAGACTGTAAAATAAAAATAAATTTAACTTATATTATATATAAATTAAATAAAATATAATTACCTGAGTATTGGTATCTGTGGTGGTAGGCATCAAAATAAGTTTATGTCTTTTACTTGGACGAATGTCAGACATATTTTCAGGCAGTCTTCTACCAACAGCTTCATTTTCGAGTAAACTTCTATCAATAGCTTCGTCTTCTAATAATTAGTTAAACCGTTTTCTTCATCAGATATCTATTTATTAAATTTTATAAGTATTAAAAAATTGGCTTATTAAAGCAATAATATTAAATACTTATGTTTATTACCATATTTTCTTTTTCAGTTACCCTTATGTTCAACTTTTCATATGATCTTTCATTTATCCTTTTACTTAACCGCTCATCCAATCTTTTATCCACTGTGTTATCTGATATTTTCTCATCCTCTATCTTATCCAACTTTTCATTCATTATCTCTTCGTCCAATATTTCATTCTCAAATTCATGCTCAAGCCATTGTTGTTCCTAAAAGAATTAAATTATTATTTAATTATTATTCAATTACACTAAAAAAAAAAAAAAAAAAAAAAAAAATACCTCTACATTTAATGCTGTAGCTCCTAAAAGCGACTCTACAACCTCCTGCTGATCAAAGTCATCTTGAGGCTCAGATAGTTCGAACCAATTCTCAGGTAACTCATCTTCTGAATTAATATGTCGATCTTTGATTTCTTTTAATATTGTAAAATGGCGTAAAGGGTTTTGACCAAATACTAACGCATATGGACTACTTTTGGTTTGTCTTGATGTTTGAATATTCATTGCATCTATTAAAACATTAACAATTAATTGATTTAGATTAAATATAAACTCAATAAAAATTATAATTGGATAAAACACACCAGCTGGTGTCTCTATTAAAAAGAACATAAAAAAAAAAAAACATAAAAAAAAAAAAAAAAAAACGAAAAACAAGATACTTACAACAATATAGAGGTACTGCTCGAGACCAATCCTTTCTTCCGGTATCTTCCATCCACTTGGATACTTTCTGCTGAAGAATATCATTCACATGTTCTACCAGCCCCTGACTTTGTAAATACCTCAGAGGTCATTAATAATATGAACGTCAGGCCAAATAGTTAGCAATTCCTGAATTATTTCTGATGTAAATTCATGATCATTGTCGATCTGGAGAATAATTGGGGCACCAAAACAGACGAAAACGTCAAAAAGAAAAATAGCAACCTCAATTGGTCGCTTGCTTGTTAAAGCCTGGGCCCAAGAATATCGAGTAAAATGATCCCTCATGTGACAGATGTAATGGTAGTCACCATCGGGGATACTGGTCATAGAAATTAAGTCAACCTGAATCCTATTAAGGAAAGCACTGGAAATTATCAGTTTTGCAGCCACCGAGTTGGGAAAGTTTCTTCGTGTTGCACATGTCATGCAATTTTTCACGAATTCTTTGATGAAGGATTGTGGAATATAACAATATTGTTCAGAAACCTTTATTAAAAAAATAAAATAAAATAAAATAAATAAATAACATTATATTTTATAATTTTATTAATTAATCTGTAAGTTATATACCGTGTCCTAGAGCTTTGTTGAACCAACATGTTTCAGGATCCCTTGATGTAAATTGCATAATATTTCATATATCTTGTCAACAGGACACATGGGTAGGTTTGATTCAATTTTTATAAGTTGCAATATGGGTTAGTTGGTGTTCCAAGGTTACGTAAAGCAAACGTCTTTTTGGCCCAGTAATGATCTTTTGCATTTCCAATATTGGTATTTGCAGGGTCTTGTAAAATGCTAATACAAAAGTCAAAATCGTCACATGTGATGAAAGTTTTACATCGCCTATTAACTGATTTGGCGTCAAGAAATTTGCCAAGCATCTCTTCAAATGCATTGCGAGATAAAAATGGATACTCTTAAGATTCAGCCATCAAAGAGAAAGAATTTTAAAATGAATAAAAAAACTTTTTTTTTTTAAATATATGTAGAAAATTTGCGCAATTTATTTCTTTATGATGTAATGTTAACTATCGTAAACTACTACGTATAAACTATCTTATGTAACATTACTATTTTTTTTTTTTTGGTATTAAGGTGAGGCCTTGCTCGTATCTTTATTGGTAGTTTAAAAATTAGTAGCTACATGG